CCCAATTAAAATTAAACACGTTCTAATTTAAAAGATACACCCATATTAGACATAATTCAATTAAACTCAATACCTAAATAGACAATTATACATTTCAACTAATTAAGAAAATCATATCCAAATACCCATCAGTCATCATAAATGTGAATGTAAGAACCTCAGAATGGGTAGTGTTGAACAATTACTGCTAAACCATATTTACGACTGTTCATTACAATTCAGTAGACAATTAAATTTAGATTTTAACTCAAACTTACACATTTTATTTCCTTCTACATATCATTTTCTTGAATTTTGCCTAAATTTTCAAGCCAGTTTATCCATTTTTTTAAATAATTGTTTGCTATGTTTTTATTGGTAGTTATGTTGTTTTGTTCTAATTATTGTTGAGTTCCCTTAAATATCTAGGTGACAACGTGTTTTTTTCTTAATTTACGTTTCAATTTTCTGATCAAGTCACTCAATTACTTATTTACATATTATAATTTTATTGTTAATTATTAGAATGATTTGGTGTATTACTTAAATGATAGTTTTGAAAATTTGACCAATAAACTTTCGACATATTACTTTGGTGAAAATTGAATGCAAATAAATACAAGATTGTCCTTTAAATTGCTAAAAATATGTTAACTATTCAGATATTCACGATTATTTCTGAGTCAATGTTCTTTATTGGTGGTCAAATTCTTGATTTTTTTAGGAGTTTATTAAGTGCAAATAAGGTTAAGGCAGCGATTTGCTCTTAAAATTGGTCATATAATGACAAGAAATCTATAGTAATTTGTCAATATTTGGATGAAGTAGAAGCATTTGACGATTCACAAAAGTTACAGTAGTTAGGTATTACATCTTTTTATTCATATGTTTTTGTTAGTTATTTTATATCATTTAATTATAATCAATGCATTCTTATACTATAGTCTTATCCTTATGGAGATAATGAATCGTGTATCATAATTGCATATGCGCCAAATATTATCGACTAAGAGTTTAAAATATATCTATCGTGTCATTATAATGATTATAATTATATAACTTTGATTTATAATTTTTTTAATGATACAATTTATGTTTTAGCGTGAAACTGTAGACTAATATTTATGATTTAATTTATTCGATATACATTAATCTTTTCTTTGTTATACTGTGGTTTTAAATTGAACCAAATCAAAAAAAATATTTTGGATTGGTTTGATTTAGAAATCGAAGTGGTTTGATTTGATTTGGAAAATTTTCAAATTGCTTTAAATGGTTTGGTTTGAAAATTTATCTCAAACCGTTCAAACTAAACCGTGTTCACCCCTAAATGTTTATTAAAAATTAACAAAGAATTTTTTTTGCCATGAATTTAAAAAATAGTAATAAATATGATATATAGATAATGTTTTGTGTTTAATTGAATAAAATAATAAAAGAGATTTATGTCAGTAATTAAACAAAAGCAAAAAATTAATTAAAGCCACTATTTTCCTCTATCATCTAAAACTCATTTTTCTCAAATTCATTTTCAACAAAATACTTTATGAAATCCACAACTTAAATCAATTTTCAATCAAATATTTATTAATTTTTATCAAAATTTACTAAAAATATGATTTTTAACTAAATCAAGCAGGGGCTAAGATTACAACGAGTTTTTATGACATGCACGATTATGTTATCGTCAATAAATTATTAAAAAGGAAAAAATATAGAAAAATAAACTTCCATAGGTGACTGCAACAACTTATTTATCAGAGATAAACTATCAAAGCACCGTCGTTATTGCTGACTGCATAATCGACAATATTTTCGTTGGTAATTATTGACAAAGGTGCATAACCCTTTATATCAATGTTGATTATTCAATAAAAAATCACTTATGGTCTGTTTTATTGTAAGAATGGAATTTGGTGGAAAGAAAATGAATTTCAGGGAATTGAATTGCCTATGAATTGTTTTATTAGGAATTGTTAATTAATTATGTTTGATTGATATAATTTTTCACCTGAAAGATATTTAAATTTTGGATCTTTTGGTATTCGTTTGACTTTGTTTTCCATGAAAATTATCCATTAAAGGGATATGATTTGTTACATTTGCCAAAAAATATTTTTTTTTTAAAAAAGTTGCTTAGAAAAGTTTTTCCCACCAAAATCATGTGAAATGCTTTTCTTAAAAAATCAAGAAAATGTGGAAAATCAATTCCTTGGAAAATTCAGTCAATCAAACATGCAAAAATGTGGAAATGAAATTAAATTTATATCTTCCATGAAAAAGAAAGCCAAATCAAACAGGGCCTTAGAATTATTGATTTTCGTCAAAATAGGTCACCCTCATAGAGGTTCGGAGTTAGTAATTTCTAGACGTTTCATCTTAATAACTTTGAGAAGCATGAGGTGTCCTTAAGTATGGTGCCCTAATGATTTGATGTTGTGATGTGTTTCTAAAAAAAGACAGCTGAAACGGTTCGTCTCCCAATACACGCAACCGTCGTCGTAGTATCCTTGAAGGTCATGGAATGCATTTTCAGGGGCTGTGTATGAAGGAATTAGATACCCTCATCGACCTTACATGCTCATCAGCATCTCATGCATGGCCATGTTCTCCTAAGTTATATTTCTCATGTTACCAGCCATTGTGGCCATTTCTATAGTGAGTTTAGCTGCAACCCTGCCTCTGGACCCACCTCGTCTATGCTATGGGGGTCGTGGGCGAGCAGCTGGGACAGCCCTTGAGGGTCTCCCTTCTTCAGGGTGTTCCCTCGTCCTACGAGGTGCACTTTCACCACCACTTGAACTTATGTTTCACAAATACTTTTCTCATCAAATTCTCCTTTCTTTTAGGGATCAAATAAATATTGGATTTTTGGACTTTCCAATGGTTATTTCTTCAAGAACTCTAATTTTCAAGGGTTGGCACTTTTCTTGCCAAAATATTTAAGCTAGCTTTCTCCCACATGTGTTTTTCCTGGTTAAATGTAAAAGTTTTCCCAGACGGCCCCAATCTGTCGACCCCAGAAAATTAATCAACAGATGTTAGGTCCACTCACGCCAAGTTAAGTACGATTCCGATGCGTTCTTACCGAAGTAACGGTGGTAGCAAGGAGAAAATGGACGCGAGAGGTACTTTGCTGCGAGAAACAAAACTGTTCAACTTTCGGCAGGTGAAATAAAAGCAATCATGCTAACAATGATCACCAGATGGAAACCAAATCGATCTATATAATAAGAGAATGTGGAAGGATATATACCATGTGTATAGAAGTTGCTATGGTATATATCTTGAAAGTTTTTGTAAAGAACATGTAAAGCCAAGACGAGAAATCTTCAATCAAATAAAATTCTCGAGAATTCAAGTGTGTATTTCGAATATATGGTCGTCCAAATTCCAATCCCCCTCTAAAGTTACAAAGAGAACCTATTTATACTGCTTTTGCCGACGTGATAACCGTAGGATCAGAACCACGTGGCTTCATATCCCTAATTTAGACTTCATATCACTGTCTATTCATACAATTAATACATTGATAAGGAGTCAACCGTTCTATACAATAGGCTGATACACTGACAAATTTTATTACAAGTGTTACATCAATCACTTCTAAGATATCTTCGAATCTATTACAAGTGATAGTGTCGGCTTTACGAGCTTTGGACGAGTTTGAAAGCCTCAGAAGGATCTTTGAGGTGGCTCTTTAAGTGGAGAGTTTCAGCTCCTTTCATTGTTTCATCAGACAGTTTCGTCATTGAGGCAGTGCCTCAGTTTGGACGTCGGCCTTGGAGTGTCCATGACTTCGATTTTGTTTGATTTCTTCATGTTTTGATCTCATGGACCTTTGTTTGACTTTTTGTTTATAGGGCTTGCCACGTGACGCTTTTTTAACGTTGAGCCTCGAAGTCGAGGCGTAACACATTACATCGGTGGGAAGTTTGTTTGCCACCTAAATATGATGCTTAGTATAGAATAAGCACTTATGCTTAGGAGATGTGGGATTTGACACAAATTCTTACCTATTTATAGAATCCATTGAGAAAGTCAAAGGCGATATTAAAGTGAAAAATGCTTGTTTTTTAAAATTATTTTTTGGAATCCCAATCTTGTTTAATTATAGGACCTAGAATAAGCACTTATGCTTACGAGATGTGGGATTTGACACAAATTCTTACCTATTTATAGAGTCCATCGAGAAAGTAAAAGGCGATATTAAAGTAAAAAATGCTTGTTTTTTAAAATTATTTTTTGGAATCCCAATCTTGTTTAAATTTAGTGGTCCTATCTACTACTTGGTATGTAATGATTTCACATCCATATTGGCAGAGGCATTAAAATTGCACTTAATGATCCGTGGTCATATAGAAATTTGGTACGGAAGCTCACAATCATGGTTTAACTAATTTCCCCATTTCTTAAGTCACTTCCATGCATTACCAAATTCCTACATATCTAAAAATCAAATGATCAAACCAAAAAAAAAAAAAAAGGTGTTTTGAGCCCAATAGTCCCTTTGTAAATATTAGACATGAACGGTCAACTTAGACATACTCAATTTTGGTATTTAAGTTTATGCTACATCTAATTTTGTATACCTGGTTTAATGGTTAGCGTACATTACTTTACTAGGTAGTGTAAGATGTTCGACCAAAGATGAATATATATACCTGTGTATATTCAAGAATTCACTCGTAACTCGTCAAAATCATTCCTAATAATTAGAGAAAATTGGGCAATGTACAAGATATATACACTAAAGTGATCATTCGAGGTCCCCCACAAAATTAAAAACCACAAAACCCTAATTCTAATCTCCATTCAAAAAGGGGGATCCGTCTTATACCTACTACTTCTCAATTTTTTTTTCTTCTTTTCTGTCACACCCCTGTCCTCAATTGGTGGAGTTTCTTATAGGTACCAACAGAAAGTTCTCCATCAACCAGTGTTGCTTCTTTCTAACTAGTCAAACCTATAACATTTAACTAATTAATATAAGCACAAATCAAAATTAAGCTATAATTACATTAATTAATTAACGTGGCTGAAAAATGCTTTGCATTTGATTTCCAACAAGTTTCAATGTCTTGTGCAATGTTCTTAGCATCCATTGATGCTCCAAGAAGGCCGCGTTTGGTAAAACCTATTGCATATAGCCCACATTCTCCTTTCCAGCCATTTGGAAATGGTCTTTTTGGTAGCCCATCTTTCTCTGAAAACATCTCTCTTTCCTGAGAAAAAAGGGGGCCAAACATGGTCCTATTTTAGTTCTCTCAAATTATACGTTTGGCACGGAATATTGAAAGCTTTCAATTATTTCAGTCATACTATTGAGTCTAGTTCGGTCCAGACGCGTGCCAAATATGCGCACAGAATGCTATGTATATTCAAGAAAAAGGGATATATACCTTTAGCCAAGATGGTACATTACTTTTGTATCCAGTTGCCAGGATAATTGCATCAAAATTTTCTGATTTTCCATCTACAAATTCCACATATTGATGCCTTAATCTCTTAATGCTTTGACATACCTGTAAAAATGGCAGCCATTTCAGTATTCCAGGAAAATAATTTGATATTCATACATTGTAAAACAGGAAAGAAAAATACTCTAAAAGGGTCAATATTTATAGAACATTATATTGTTGAAAATGTTCCTATTAGCGGAAAAACTTCTATGTAATATTTGGTGACGTATATTAGACAATACTGAACAGTACTAGAGAAGGAAAAAAAAAGTTTAAACTTTGTCCACTATACTATCTGACGTAGCGTAATACTATATAAGAATCATACATTTTTTTTTTTTAATTTCTTGTAATTGTTTGGACAAATATGGTGATTTATGTCTCAGTGGAAATGTCATTTAACAGAGCAATGCAATCATTGATAAAGGCTAAAATCGTTGGATACAACAAATTAAACACTGTAAAAGGTGATGGCACAATGAAATAAAAGTGAAGTTATTTTGCAATTTGTGCAGATGGACAAATTATAGTACCTTGATGTCTCCACTTTTGATCTTGGCAAGGGTTCCGACGTCCAAAACCGGCGTTTTCCCTGATATGTTCTTTAACTCGAGAGGGCCTATGTTAGGCCGGTCGAGGCCAAACCGTCCTGTGTCCCCGAGTATAAGCCAGGACACGACTAATAGGAACCGATCGACAAGACGCATTGGCAGCCACTTGAGTAACCACATGGACAGCCCGAAAGTTGATCTCCCCAGCATTTCTTGTGGTAAAATGTGCACCTAATAGTATCAACAAATTTTCGAAAGAACAAAAAAGGGGTCATATAAAAAGTTAGACCTGAAGATGGGACTGACAGAAATAAAGTATAAAAGATGAAATTGATTGGAATAAAAATAAAAATTATATGATCACTAACTCTACCATTCCTAAACTCCATATGATAAAGGGACTGCTTTACATTTAAAAATAAAATAAAATTATTTTGATTATGAAACAAAATCTTAAAACTTTTCAAACCAAGCTTTCATTGCGCATGCTTGATTATCCCAAGAAAGTGAAACAAATAACTGTATATAATAAAACAGTTGGAACATAGACAAGAAAACGACGAAGATCTTTCTTTCTTTTGCAAGATCTCTTTGGACTATGGTTAAAAAGCTTGAATTAGGGTTTTGCTTACTTTTCAGAAATTTTAATTTTTTTGCCAAGAAGCAAAGCTTAAACATAAAGGTTACATACACTTTTCATATTCATTAATATACAGAAATATAAAGTTTCTTGATTCAATTTGAAACCCAAAGAAAGTCTGGAATAAGTAACTTTTTTCTTATCTTACTTAAAAGTGAAAATCCAAAGCTCTTATAAGGAATAAAAAATAAGTTGAAACGGTTTTGAAGGTATTCTTACTGCATTTCTGACCACAAGAGAGGGGCTGGCGTCATGATTGCATAGATCCAAACATACTTCCATTCCAGAATTTCCACAGCCAACTACCAATATTTTCTTCCCTTTAAACACATCTCCACTTTTATATCCGCTTGTGTGCAATATAATCCCTCCAAATTCATCCATTCCTTCAATCTGCGGAACCACCTCCGCTGCATTTTCTCCGGTAGCCACAATTAGCCACCGGCAGACGTACTCGGTCTCCTCGTCCTTGAGCCCCGCTGCGCGTACTCGCCAAAACCCGAGATTCTGATCATACTCTGCACACAAAACTTTCTGGTTGAAAAAAGGCCTAATGTCAAACTTTTTAGCATATGATTCCAAGTAGTGAATGAACTGCTGTTTAGTAGGGTATGTAGGAAATTCTTGCGGGAATGGCATCAAAGGAAGCTCGCAGAATTCCTTAGGCAAATGAAGCCTAAGCCGATCATAAGTTTTGAGCTGCCATAAAGATGCTATACAATTAGATCTCTCTAAAAGAAGACTCGGTACACCTTTTTCCTTCAAACAAGCTGCCGCAGCAAGGCCGGAAGGCCCGGCCCCCACTATAACCGGCCCAGGTACCAATACGCGTCGTTGAGACCTCAAAATCTTGTCATTAGGCCAGTTACAGTAGGGATCATGCACCCTTTTCCCCTCTATTTCCCTTGAGTAATCCATGGCAGTGTAAAAGTATATAACTAACTACTTATCCAACTGTAACTATTTTTTTTTTGTTGAGTCTTGAAATCTTTACTGCTTCAAAGATTCAGAATATGAGAAAGAGCAAGAATTGAGGAGAACCATGAGATCAAAACAACGTCTTGTTGATTCAAAATAATAATAATAATAATTAAAAAAAAAACAAAACTTGACAGAAATTTTAGGGATAAATCTATATCTACTAATATATCCAGAAGAGAGATTCAATGAAATACGTGGTGAATTCCGAAAGAGGTGGAGTGGATTAGGAGAAATTCTTAGCCACTTGTGATCGCGAATGAATAAAATGAATGAGTTATATTTTTTTCTTTGAATCTAGATGTGAAAGAGCGAAGACTACGGGACTGATCAATCAGCATTCATTTCTTCAAGAAAAACCTTGAGAGACACACACAAAGAGAGAGGGATGGGGTGGGGTGGGCGCAGAATGTGATATTTCAACATATATTCCTTTTGTTCAAAGGAGAGAAGTGAATTGAATTCACTGTGAATATCAGAAAAACAGGGTTCAGTGATAAACAGGAACTAATGCTAACAGGGCATATTTATAGTGTTTGTTGTGTTCGGGTGGGGATGACGTGACGTGGCATGGGGTGGGGAAGATCAACAGTAGTATTAACTAGAAGGATCTGGCTACGTATTCATAAATGTTCACGTAAGTGATTAAATAATGTGACATGACACTCTACTAATTGTCAGTTTAACTTTTCCATCAAATCTTTTCCCTCAACTTCATTTAATGTAATCTCTTATATACCATTTTTATGTACAGTAGCATGATCCTAACTAGAAACAATTTTTTGATTGAGTTTGACTATATACCAACTAATCACAAATTGAAAGAAATTTTACTTATTATGAGATTGAGACCTAGTAATTATATTCCATCAAGATTGATTTCATGTGATTACAAGGTTATAAGAATGGGACCAGATTGACTAATTCAATTAGAATTATTAGAAACTCAATAGTTCGATCACGACCTTTTATCTTTTTCAAGTCAATTTTCAAATTTTTAGATTGTAGATCTATAGATGCATTTCATTACCAATAACTTAGATTGTTTAATCAACTTTTTTTTTTTTAATACTCGAAATACCTTTAAAGTCTAGACGGTATTTTTAAGTCTCTACTTAAGCCTAATGTTGATGTCGAATTTCCCGATTCTCTTTATTTATACGAACGTGAGGTACAAGTGTTAGGAGGACGTGACAACCTTGTCTCAAGACCTACATAAGAAGAGAGGAATAAAAGTTTAAAAAGCACTAAATTAGGAGCATACTATCTCCTTTACAACTTCTGAGAGGAATATACGTCGCTTGAGAGGAATATACGTCGCTAGGTCTGTCATACACAAAATTTAGTTGGTACTATTAATTAGGTGATTGATCTTTAATTAAATCCTAAAGAATATCACACATTAGCTACATCATAAGATAATCTGAATAAATTAAGATAAGATGTCAATTAATTTTTTTTATTAGTACTTAATTAATGAGGCTTTAACATATATAGGTTGTGTTAATCTCATTGGTTAGAGGCTAAAGGTTAGTTATGGTTGGCACTGGGTTGGGCTGGCTAGATTGCCATATTTTACTTTGGACCTAAAAAAAAGTTGGGTGACACTAAAATAATCACATTATTATTATTATTATTATTATTTTTTTTTTTTCCAAATATTGTATGCCCATATAAAACCTACCTTTTATTAATAAGTAAATATAAAAATAATTTAATTTTTAAGGAAATTGATAACAATAGTACTAACTTGGCCCAACCTTGATTTGTAACACTCCTTCGTAGGATTTCACTTTTTAGTACCTATGGTGTATCTCACTTTAAAAAAAAAGGCAAATATTATATAATGCAAATAATTCGATCGGTGAATTATGTTGAAGTTGGATGGAAAAATAGCATTTATTTTCCTTGAGCGAAAATTAATTTTATTGTCAAGATAATCTATTTCCAACGTTTAGATTAATTTTCTTAGAGTGCATATTTAAAAGATTAAAAGTTAGGTTTCTTGTATTTTTGTAAAAGCTAGAATTAGGTTCACGATCTATTGGATATTTATTAAAATATATAAAAGTGGTAGATTTCTCCCAACTTGATCGCGTATTCTACGTGAATTAACTATACTCGAATGAACGCAATTGAAAACAAGATTAAAATTTGAAAATGAATTATAGAATTCACAGCTTTACTAACTTGTTCGAGACTTGACCCACAACAAAGGATCTCAACGAGCATTGAGAGTCTAATTGGCTAAATTCGAGATCGCTCTCTTGTCTATGAGCGAGAATCTCTACCAAGTAGAGAAGTATTGGTAGCCTTGCATACTGCAACCATTAAATTAACTAACTTCTTTTTCAAACTTTTATACATATTTAAAGATCACAAAAGACATATACGAAACTTTTCCTTTGGAATGACGCTTATGGCCCGTTCGACATAACTTTTGCTTTATGTAGAAAAGCTTTTGGAGGCAGATACAGTAATTTTTGTTTGAAAATGAATTTTTAAAGAGGTTTTTATTTTGGAAGTGTTTTTATAGAGAAAGTTACATTGAACCATCTTTCTCTATAAGTTATTTTAACTAGGAAAAGTATTTTTATAAAATTAGCCAAACAGGTTCAAAAATAACTTTTGGATCTCAAAAACTCCTTTTGATTTTTCAAAAGTTATATCAAATGAGCTCTCAGATGAAGAAGATACACATTCTTGATTAAAGAATAATGTTGTATATCACTATTGCTTATTAATAACATGACTCTTCATTAAAATCAATGTAGGAAAAATAATGTATAATTTTGGTACTCATTTATTTACACCCTGTTTGATCCACATTCTTACAAAAAATCATTTTTTCAAAACTCATTTTCAATCACACTTTTTTCAATAAAATAATATTATACACAAATTTAAAATTTTTCTTTATTTTTTAATCACATATTTTCCATCAAATCACTATTTAAAATGCATTCTCCACTCAATAATGTGCATCAAACACCTCATTAGTT